AGAGAGAGAGAGAGAAATTGTATCCTGAGCACAGAGTATTTGACATGTAGTTGTTTACTACTTGCATGAATGAATAAAGTGCAAATCAGCAAGCACCTATAAAGACTGTACAGTAGGAGTTTCACCATTTATACCCATATTCAAGCTGAAATGTAATTATGCTGTCTTATCCTACACGAATCTATAAAATCATAAAACTGGATAGGAGTATGAAAAATGTCTCCATCAGCTGTAAAAATATAATTTATGTTTTTCTTCCTAGGCATTTATACATAACATGAATCAATAAGTATTCATGAAATGACTTAACAGTGTAGGTCTGTCTTAAAGACATAAGAAAAATTTCAGACTCAATCAGTGTTCTCAATGAGATTATAAATAATTTAAATATGTAGCAATTTTGAAGCAGTCATAGAATACTCAGTGCATGTGCTCTTTATAAAACTGCATCAAGTATTCTGGTAAACTGATTGCTTTTCTTCCAAAGTACCTGTGTTTAGCTGTGCAGCTTTGCCCACCGTCACTTTGGTATTTGGAAGGCAGACCATGTGCCTACTTAGCTTGTAGCTGCAGGGAAACAGGTTGGGAGCTGCCAAAATGTTCCTGAGCGTAGCTGTTTTGGCTGCTTTAACAAGATAGTACAAGGGCAAAATCTAGCAGTGTGTAGCAAGGACAGAAGGAACAGGGGGGCTTGTAACATTCTACAGCTTCTCCAAACCTAAATGACGAGGGATAAATGCCGTGTCTTTATTTCTACACGTATTGTTTCAGATACCCTTCAAATTATGTGGAGAAAGAAAGGTAAAGCAGGTTTAATATTTAACTTGTGATTTCTGCTGTATTCCATCACTTGGAAACACATTGCAGAAACCTACCAAGTTGGTGAGAGAATAACCTGACAGGAAACCATAAGTTTGCATTTAGAAACTCTGATTCTAAAGCAGTCCTTGGGGCCCCCAAGGTATATCCAAAGGAGGAGGAATCCTAATGTTGCATAATCACGAGGAAAGGGTACCCCTCAGATTCCACTTCGGATGTGGGCAGAGAGGTGTCCAAGGAAGAACTTGCCATAGAACCAGCCAGAATCCACACAAAAACACAAAAGCAACCAACCAAATGAACAAAAATGCTCTAAACCCCCATAGAGAACAAACAAACTAACACCCACAATGGGCAAAGAGCTCTTCTAATGAGCATGCCATGGTTGGTTCAAGGAACTTTCTTCAGTGCCATGGCAAGTTTCCTCAGATG